TGCATTTGGTGCTGCTGCTGCTGCTGCTGCTGCAGGAGCAGGAGCAGCAGCAGCAGGTGACGCCGCAGCAACAGGTACTGCTGCTGCAGCAATAATAGGTACTGTGCTGCTGTTGTGTTGCATGCAGCAGCAGCAGTTGCTGCTGCTGCGCTGCATGCAGCAGCACGTCGTCGAGGTGCTGCTGCTGTGTTGCATGCAGCAGAAACATTTTACATAACTGGTACACCCAGTAATATTTAAGTTTATATATGTATATATATTATTTATTTATTTATTTATTTATTTATTTATTTATTTATTTATCTATTTATATATTATACACTATATATACAATATACGGGGAGCAACAGCAGCAGCAGCAGCTGCTGCTGCTGCTGCTGCAGCAGCAAAACTAGCATTAAAGAGAATAAATATATATTATTAATTATTTATATAAAAAATAAATAAAACAAATTACTGCATAATTAAGGGAAGAAAATGTTTATTTATTTTCTTCTTTTTTCTTCTTTTTCCTTCTTTTTTCTATACATATTTTCTTCTCTTTGTCCTCCTTAATACAGCAGCAAAAAGCCCCATTTATTTCTTTATATAATTAATGCATGCATTCTGTACCCTTTTTATTACTATACTATTAATATATTCATCGTTTATCCTCCTCTAGGGGGCCCCCCATAGGGGCCCCTAGGGCCCCCAAAGGGGTAGAGTACCCTCCCTACCCATCTTTCCATATACATTTGATTGAGGGGCCCCTCTTGGGGTCCTCTGATGCCCCCCCCATCCAAGGGGCCCCCCCAGGGGGCCCCGAGGGGGCCTCTTGGGGCCCCCTCAGTAAGCTGTCATGATAAAAGGGGAAGGGATATATGGTTCTTTGCCATGAGGGGCCCCTCCTTTGGGGCCCCCCGGTGGTGTATGATGGGGCCCGTACAAGGCCCCCCTCCACCACCAGGGGTTCTGTTGGGGGCCCCACACCCTTGGGGGCCCCATACCCTTGGGGGCCCCCAAGGATTTATTTATATTTCTTTTGTTATATCATTGTACATCCCCTAAAGGTATAATTAAGAAAGAAGAATAAAAAGGCAAAGGATACACCCCTAATATCTCACGCTGCTGCTGCTGCTGCTGCTGCTGCTGCTGCAGCAGCAGCTGCTGCTGCTGCTGCTACTGTTCATATTTATGCATCTCCTTCTTGTTCACCCATTTCCCCCTCCCCCTCCGTTCCTGCTACTGCTGGTACAACAGGAGCTGCTTCTGCTGCTGCTGTAGGAGCTGCTTCTGCTGCTGCTGCAGGAGCTGCTTCTGCTGCTGCTGCAGGAGCTTCTTGTGATGCTGCTGCTGCAGGAGCTTCCTCTGTTGTTGCTGCTGCAGGAGCTTCTTCTGTTGTTGCTGCTGCTGGAGTTTCTTTTGCTGCTGCTGCAGCTTCATCTCCTGCTGCTGCGTTAGCAGCTTCTTCTGTTGCTGCTGCTGCTGCAGGAGATTCTTGTGATGCTGCTGCTGCTGCTGCAGGAGCTTCTTCGGATGTTGCTGCTGCTGCTGGAGCTTCTTCTGTTGCTGCTGCTGCTGCTGGAGCTTCTGTTACTTCTGCTGCAGGAGCTGCTGCTGCAGGAGTTTCTCCTGTTGCTGCTTCTGTTGCAGGAGCTGCTTCTGCTGCAGGTGTTGCTGTTGCTGCAGGAGTTGCTTCTGCTGCAGGTGCTGCTGTTGCTGCAGGAGTTGCTTCTGCTGCAGGTGCTGGTGTTGCTGTTTCTGTTGCAGGAGCTGTTTCTGCTGCAGGTGCGGCTGTTGCTGCAGGAGCCGCTTCTGCTGCGGGTGCTGCTGTTGCTGCAGGAGCTGCTTCTGTTGAAGGAGCTGCTGTTGCTGCAGGTGCTGCTGTTGCTGCTTCTGCTGCTTCTGCTGCTGCTGTTGCTGCAGGTGCTGCTGTTGCTGCAGGTGCTGCTTCTGTTGGTGCTGCATCTGCTGTAGTAGCTGCGTTTGCTGGTGCTGCTGGTGCTGCTGGTGTTGCAACAGGAGCTGTTTCTGCTGGTGCTGCTGCTGCTGGAGCCTGTGTCTGTGCAGTTGGAGCCGGTGCAGCAGGAGCAGGTGCAGCACGAGGAGGAGCCGCAGCAGCAGTAGCAGCAGGAGCAGCAGGAGCAGCACCAGCCTGTGCGTTCTTTGCTTTCTGCATTGCTACGAATGCTGTAAATCGCTGCAGCATCTCCTGTGCTGAGACTTTTGTTGCTGCCTGTCCGCTGCTGCTGCTGCTGCTGCTGCTGCTGCTGCTACCAGTGCTCTTACTGTTGCTGCTGCTGCTGCTGCTGCTGCTGGTGCTCTTGCCTAGATCGGACTTAATATCTGTACATGAATACTTAGGAAGAACAGAGGACCAAGGAGGTAAGATATTTTTGTGTATAAGTATTCCTCTTGTTATTGCCCTTATATTTGTATTAGTTAATGTAGCTAATGCATGCGTAGTATTATAATAAGAACGAACTTTTTCTTCTCCTGTTGCTCCTCCTGCTCCTCCTGCTGCTGCTGCTGATGTTGATATACCTGGGACACCTGCTGCTGCTGCACCCATTGCTGCTGATGATGCTACTCCTGCTGCAGCAGCAGGATTCATTGCTGCTGTTGTTAATAAATGTCCTAATGCTTTCTCTAGTATTACACGATTACCTATATTCTGTAAGAAAAGGGTTAGTGCTTGCTGCTCTGCCTGCTGCAGCATCCAGAACCCGTTGCTGCTGCTGCTGCTGCTGCTGCTGCTGCTGCTGCTGCTGCTGCTGCTGCTGCTGCTGGTGCTGCTGGATCCATTTATTAATTGTAACCATCTAGCTGAGAAACGAGCCTGACGATTCAATGCTTCTACTAATTCACGACTTGCTGCTTCTATTCCTGCTGCTGCTGCTGCTGCTGCTGCTGCATCTTTTCCTGTTATTTCTGCTGCAATTTGTGCTGCTGCTATTGGATCATTTCCTGCTGCTTTTGCTGCTATTTGCTGCTGATAAAAAGGAGTATATAATCTTGCTTCCTCTAATGTATTTGTATATCTAATAAAAGGAGAAGAAGAATTAAATAATGCTAATAATAATTCTGCATGCAATTCAATAGAAAAAAGTTTTCTTGTTTTTTTTATTATATTATTATTTATATTTATATTCTTATTTATATTTTTATTTATTTTATTCTTCTTGTCTTCTTCTGTTAATTTCTCCTTCTTTTCTGCATAATATACACTACGATCTAATAATTTCTCTATATCCTTTAACCATTCACTGCTGCTGCTGCTGCTGCTGCTGCTGCTGCTGCTGCTGCTGGTGGTTGAGGATGCTGCTGCTTTTGAGGGGTCAGAAGAAGACTCTCCTGCTGCTCCTGCTGCTTCTTTATCAGCAGCAGCAGCAGCAGCAGCAGCAGCAACAGCATCAGCAACAAAATCAGGATATCCTTGTGCATCTATTGTTTGTCTTAATCTAATAAGAGAGACAGGAGTTGTATCCTTATTATATTTATATAATTGTTGTACCCATGGAGGAATATATTTATTATTTATTGTTGCTGCTGCTGCTGCTGCTGCTACTGCTGCTGCAGCAGCAGATCCTTGTGCATTAGGAGGGATCTGTGGTACTATAGGTGGTGCAGCAACAGATGCAGCAACTGCAGCAGCAGCAGCAGCATCTGCCTCACGAAGAGTTCTTGCATGCAATACTTTATTATAGTTATTTGCTGCTGTACGCATCCTTGCTAGCATGCGCAAAGCCCCATCAATTTCTTGTGCTGCAGCAGAAGGTCTATCTGCTGCTGCTGCTGCTGCTGCTGCTATACCTTCTTCTGTTGCACCTTCTGCTGCTGCTTCCTCTGCTGCTTCCTGCTGCTGCTGCTGCTGCTCAGCTATTCTTAATAAAGATAATTCTTCCTCCATCTCTCCTAGCCAAGATTTTATTTCCTCATATCTATTCTGCAGCTGCTGCTGTGCCTCAGCAGCAGCAGCAGCAGCAGCAGCAGCAGCATCACCTCCTTCTGCTGCTGCTTCCTCAGGAACAGCAAATGGTACTCTCCTTAAATCCCCAAGGAATTTATTTCCTCTAGGCTGCTGCGGCTTACACACACCCTCCTGCTGCTGCTGCTGCTGCTGTTGCTGCTGCTGCTGCTGCTGCTGCTGCTCAGGTATACGGAAGCCAAGACGTATAGGGTTATAAGGAGCAACACCACTGGCCCTCTCTAGTGCATGCAAATCAGAAAAGAGGAGGGACCCCTGCAGCAGCAGCGTCTCCCATCTATCTAGCTTTGTTGCTGCTGCTGCTGCTGTTGCTGCTGCTGTTTCTGTTGCTGCTGCTGCATTAGGTAATATACCTGCAGCTGCAGTTACACCTGCTGCACCTAATGCAGCAGCTATTGCTGTACCCATAGACTTCTGCTGCTGCTGCTGCTCCTGTCGCTGCTGCAGCACCTGCACCTTATGCAGCAGGGACTCAAAGCTTCTTCTTGCTGCTGCTGCGTCGGGTGTATCTGCAGCAAAACTGTCATGAGCTAAGAATGTTTCTGCTGCTGCATCTGCACCACCAAATCGTGAATTAACCTGCTGCAGCAGCAGCAGCTGCTGCTGCTCCTCCTCAGTCAGCAGCGGCTGCTTCTCTGGTTTCCTTAACCTATTAGATAGGTGCAGACCCTGCATGCAGCTCAGCAGCAGCAGCAGCCCCACAAATCCAAAAATTCCCCATTTCCTGCTGCTGCTGCTGCTGCCTGCAGCTGCTTTCCCTTCTGCTGCTCCTGTTGCACCTGGGGGTATCCCTATAGCTGCATCTTCCGCTTCAACTAGTGCAGCAGTAGCAGCAGCAGCAGCTGCTGCTGCTGCTGCTGCATCTCCTTCTGCTGTAGGCAGCAGCCGTGTCTCCTCATCTGAATAAGCTAAGGATACATCACTATCATAGAGACGGCTTCCTGCTGCTGTTTGTGTCTCCTTTGTCTCAACAGCAGACTCTCCTCTACTACCGGGCTCCATGGCCTGCTGCTGCTGCTGTTGTTCCCGTTGCTGCTGCTGCTGTTGTTGTTGTTGTTGTTCTTCTTCTTCTTGCTAGTCCTGTGTAAAAACTAGGGTTTAGGGTTTAGGGTTTAGGCAAGAGCATGCAGCAACACTCTGTTGATGATTATTATGCTGCTGCTGCTGCTGCTGCTGCTGCCAGTTCCTATCAATGCGATTCAATGCAAACAGCAGCAATGATCCAATGGCTCACTCTGCTGCTGCTTCTGCTGCTGCTGCTGCTGTTGTACACTCTTGGGTAGATCCTGATGCCGTTGTTGCTTATAATCAGCCCAATGCTGCTAGTCCTGATCTTCTGTTTCTGTTTTACCTGCTGTTGCTATTGCTGCTGTTGCTGCTGCTGTTGCTGCTGCTGTTGCTGCTGATGCAGATCTCAACGAAGCTCGCTCACCCTCGACACCCTAGCGGGAGGTGGCGGAGCCACTGCAGGTAACGAGGAAGAAAATGAGCAACAGGAGACTAAGGAAGTAAAAAGGAAGAAAAAGTAATTAAAGACGCTGCAGATACACCGCAGGAGAAAAGAAAACAGAAGTAAGCTTTCTTTGATGGTGGGGTAGCTCACGAAAGCTGGAGAAGAAAGCGGCTGTAGTGTATACACCAGAGGAAGCAAGAAGAGGAGCTGAATATATATCTATATATGGCAAAAAATACTCTATTTAAAGGGAATTTATGCTTAAATATCCTTTATTTAATAAAAAGATAAAGGAAACAAACATAGGAGAGGTAAGGGAGGAAAAAGATCAACAATTTACCCCTTATTCAATATTGAATGTTCTTGTATTGATTCTGTATGCGCTGCATCGAGCTGCTCATCTAATCAGAGGATAAAAAGGAGTTTTTATGTTCTTTTTTGTTATAAAAAAAAGAAAATAAACAATAAAATACATTTAAATTCATTTAATCAATTAATAATACCTTAATTATTGGTATTTTACCCTTTTTTATTCCCTTCCCCTCTCCCATCCGCACTGTGCACACTATGGCATCAGCTTTCCTGTTGCAAGTTCTGTCTTCTTGACTAAAAACTAATTGCTTTTCTTAGCTAATTTATTTAATTATATTATCTAATCTTTTTTATCCTTTTTCTCTTCTTTTTTACCTGTCTTCTTCCCATTTTTTACTGCATTTACCCCCTTTTCCTATTTCGTACAGATGAGGAGAGCGGTACGAAGCTGTACATACACCTAAGGACACTATAAAGGAATAAAAAAAGAATAAAAATTAAATAAAATAATTAATAAAATGTATTTTTTGCCCCTTTTATATTAAATAAACATAAAATATATATTAATTAAATGGTTAATTACTACAGTTCCTTAGAAGAGTTATTTTATACCCATTAATTGTCTTATTTTTGTATTTATTATTATTAATAAGAAGAAACTTTGCACAAAAATATTCTTTTTTCTTCTTTTTATTTGCATGCAGCAGCAATAATAGGTAAATAGTACTAATAGATCTACTCCTTATTTCTACTTATAAGGAGAAAAAGAAGAAAAAAGAAAGAAAAAGGAATAAAAAAGCCTAAACATCTCTCCCTGCAACATATGTTGCTAGGAACTGCAGCAACTGCAGCAGCAACTGCAGCAGCAACTGCAGCAACAACTGCAGCAGCAACTGCAGCAGCAACTGCAGCAGCAACTGCAGCAACAACTGCAGCAGCAACTGCAGCAACAACTGCAGCAGCAACTGCAGCAACAACTGCTACTAATTGCTGCTGCTTATAGATTCCCTGCTAGTCTGTAGCTAACGTACACCGGATAACATGTTTATATATAAGGTGTATATAAATATATTATACAGCGCATGCATGCATGCATGCATGCATGCATGCAGGCATGCATGTGTATATATATAAATAATTGTATGCATTATAATAAATAAATAAATAAATAAATAAATAAATAAATAAATAAATAAATAAATTTTGTTGTTCTTTTAATAAAAACAAAAAGAAGAATTTATTTTTGCATTTTATTGTTTGTTTACAATAAAGGGAAACTCCCCTTTATATAAACCCTAAACCCTCAATAAACCCTAAACCCTCAATAAACCCTAAACCCTAATAAACCCTAAACCCTAATAAACCCTAATAAACCCTAATAAACCCTAATAAACCCTAATAAACCCTAATAAACCCTAATAAACCCTCATTAAACCCTCCATAAACCCTTCATATATTCCTGCTGTATTAATATATAGAATAAATAAACAAATATCTACATTATATAATAATTAGGGTTTAGGGTTTAGGGTTTAGGGTTTATGGATCCATGAGGGTAACTCTGTCCATCTAAAAAAATTCTTTAAGAAAATTTTTTTGGGCAAAAAAAATATTTTATTGCGGCTCTCTGCGCTAATAAAGGGCTGCAGCAAGAAAAATAAATAAATAAATAAATAAATAAATAAATAAATAAATAAATATAAATAAATAAATAAGTAAATAAATAAATAGGGAAGGGGAGCTGTATATATATATATATATATATATA